TGGGAGGCTGCTGGCTCTTACAGCTAATCACACCCACTTGCATGTGATCGCTGCTTGGGAGATTACATGAGAGCAGGCGCGATTAGCTGTGAGACCTGGCAGACTGCTATTTCTTTCAATGGGGGTGTCCTTTCCCTCCACTCAGTCTCAGATTACATCTTGCTCTCCTCTCTAAGCTGTGCAATATGTGAAATCAGATCACTATCCCAGCCTCTGAAAACTCAGAAATGATGTGTAAATTCTGCATTTGAACAGCTCTTGAGAACAGTGGGCTGCAGAAAAATAGGTACAACGTATGTAGGAGGATTTGTTTCATCTGTGTATCACCTGAGGCCAGTCACTTCAATGTATGTAAGGTTGTGCAACAACTTAATGTAATGTAAAAAATGTTATATTTTATGTAAAATGTGTATGTAAACCCTAGCAATAAACTTCTCTTACTTGCTACATTTTGGTCTGTGAAAATGTTTTACTATATCTCTGGTTAATAAGTCTAAAATATACCTGTTGATCCTACCAGGAATCTAATGTTGTCATGTGCCACGTGCACTCTGCAGTGCAATCTCAAGCAAAATTACACACCATGAGAAAATAGAATCATCATTCATGGTTGTTTGCTTGATATCAAATATGAGAGTACTACTAAGCATATGAAAAAATCTTGTACGTACGACCCAGTATAACTTCCTGTGTGCATAGCTACAGTGGGGATCGAAAGTTTGGGCACCCCAGCTAAAAAATTTATATTAATGTGCATAAAGAAGCCAAGGAAAGATGGAAAAATCTCCAAAAGGCATCAAATTACAGATTAGACATTCTTATAATATGTCAACAAAAGTTAGATTTTATTTCCATCATTTGCACTTTCAAAACAACAGAAAACAAAAAAATGGTGTCTGCAAAAGTTTGGGCACCCTGCAGAATTTATAGCATGCACTGCCCCCTTTGCAAAGCTGAGACCTGCCAGTGTCATGGATTGTTCTCAATCATCGTCTTGGAAGACCAGGTGATGTCAATCTCAAAGGTTTTAAATGCCCAGACTCATCTGACCTTGCCCCAACAATCAGCACCATGGGTTCTTCTAAGCAGTCTAGAAAACTGAAACTGAAAATAGTTGACGCTCACAAAGCTGGAGAAGGCTATAAGAAGATAGCAAAGCGTTTTCAGATGTCAATATCCTCTGTTCGGAATGTAATTAAGAAATGGCAGTCATCAGGAACAGTGGAAGTTAAAGCAACATCTGGAAGACCAAGAAAAATATCAGACAGAACAGCTCGCAGGATTGTGAGAAAAACAATTCAAAACCCACGTTTGACTGCACGATCCCTCCAGAAAGATCTGGCAGACACTGGAGTTGTGGTACACTATTCCACTATAAAGAGATACTTGTACAAATATGGTCTTCATGGAAGAGTCATCAGAAGAAAACCTCTTCTATGTCCTCAACACAAAAATCATCGTTTGAACTTTGCAAATGAACATATAGACAAGCCTGATGCATTTTGGAAACAAGTTCTGTGGACAGATGAGGTTAAAATTGAACTTTTTGGCCGGAATGAGCAAAGGTACGTTTGGAGAAGGGGCACAGAATTTAATGAAAAGAACCTCTGTCCAACTGTTAAGCATGGAGTTGGATCAATCATGCTTTGGGGTTGTGTTGCAGCCAGTGGCACAGAGAACATCTCACGAGTAGAAGGAAAAATGGTTTCAATAAAATTTCAGCAAATTTTGGATGGTAACTTGATGCCATCTGTGAAAAAGCTGAAGTTAAAGAGAGGATGGCTTTTACAAATGGATAATGATCCTAAACACACCTCGAAATCCACGGGGGATTACATCAAGAGGCGTAAACTGAAGGTTTTGCCATGGCCTTCACAATCTCCTGACCTCAACATAATTGAAAATCTATGGATAGACCTTAAAAGAGCAGTGCGTGACAGACAGCCCACAAATCTCAAAGAACTGGAAGACTTTTGTAAGGAAGAATGGGCAAAGATACCTCAAACAAGGATTGAAAGACTCTTGGCTGGCTACAAAAAAAAGCGTTTACAAGCTGTGATACTTGCCAAAGGGGGCAGTACAAGATTTTAACTCTGCAGGGTGCCCAAACTTTTGCAGACGCCATTTTTTTGTTTTCTGTTATTTTGAAAGTGTAAATGATGGAAATAAAATCTAACTTTTGTTGACATATTATAAGAATATCTAATCTGTAATTTGATGCCTTTTGGAGATTTTTCCATCTTTCCTTGGCTTCTTTATGCACATTAATACAAATTTTTAGCTGGGGTGCCCAAACTTTCGATCCCCACTGTATGTACCAAGATGTAATCTGAATTGATGTCATGTACGTGTGATCCCTCCGCTTGCCACACCTTCTGTTATGCCCATTCAAAGTGTCACGGTGTATTCGTGAATTGGTCTCCACATGTAGATTTGTCCTCCATGTCCTGAAAAACTTTTTTTTTTTTTTTTTTTGTATTTAGGAGCCTTTTATTTGCATTTTTTTTGTTGCCCTTTTTTTTTCTTTCCAGCTTGTTTTCGTGTTTCCGATCATGCGTGGTCTTGATCACTCGGTATAGACAAATACTATACTGGTTACGCGAACATCATTCATTCTGTTATGAGAAGTATGTTCGTGCTTGTCCCTTCGGATAATTTTGCATGAACTGTCCTGATCAGCTCTCGAAAGCTGTATACCAATGAATAGATTATCGGACAATCGCTCTGAATACGTTTTATTCATTGGATTTTCTCATTATGTGTACTAGGATTAGGAGAGCCCTGCTCATGAGAGTCTACAATTAAAAGGGAAGGACAAGTGATACAAAAGGTCATTTTTGAGGGGTTAAGATACACTTCAACATAAACATTTTAAGCTTCTAGTATTTAAATTGTTACAAGTACCCCCCCCCCCCCATAAATATAATCAAAGCTCACTATGTCCCTGAATATGCTTCATGTACATGTGTGGCATTCCTCTTTTTGTCTGCGACTGTAAGGACATCTCTGTCCATAGAGACAACCATGGTAGTCTCATTGTTTAATGACTTTCATGCTGCTGCCTTTTATTGCTAGTCATTCAAAGCTGAAAAGAATAAATAGATGACCTTTGGTGATAGATGCAGGTAAGAGTATGAGGGAAGGTAGGGGGGTGGACTGTTGCCAGCTTTACCCACTAATTTAAAGCCATTGACAAGCAAACTGTAAACATCTTCTAAATAGGCCTTGCATTTTGACTTGAGTGTAAAAAGTGTTTTAATTGATTTACAGAACCAGCTGTGTACTCTGCTTTGGCTTGGCCACAGGGTGAAATCATTACATCAACATACTGCTGAATGTCTGGAATAATCTGCAGGAAAATGATTAGGCTCTCTTTTCAGTTTGGTGAGTGTGTAAATTGTTCAGCAGTACATTGAGATGGCCAAAATAGGATGTACTGAAAACAGACGTTCAAGAAAGTCTAGGTACAGTGTGTTCTTTACCAGTGGCAAATAAGAGCAATATTTTTTAGCCCCCAATTCTACTTGCATTAGTTACATACTGCAGCTTGCAGAGAGCCCCTTGAAGGATAGGTTGGCTATTGCAGTGGCCTTGTATTCCTACATTTTTCAGCTCAAGTGATCACTAAACTTGCAGTTATACCTGATTTTGCACCTACTGCAAAAGCTAAGAAAGAAGTAGTTTAGCCACGTTAAAGACTAATGCCAGCCATACATAGATCAAAATTTGACCAGTTCAGCAGGGAGTTTCTACAGAAGCCGATCGACTTCTGTAAAACTGCCCTCTTGGATTCTCCCTCCTAGATTAATGGAGCTGGCCATAGCCAGCAACACTGATCTGTGTATTCTGATGGTGGGGAAGTCTCAGCGCTGTCGGAATACCATAGCTCAGCGTGGAGGAGTCCCTCATCCATATCATGTTTTGGATAGGAGAATCTTTTTTTTTTTTTTTTTTTTTTTTTTTTTTTTTTTTTTTTCCCCTCTTTCGTTCATCCTGCTGGTTACTGGTGTAGCTTTAGCAGCCCAAGTATTTTCATCACTGCTTAAAGTGGAACATTACCCTTATTTTAAAAAACTATAACAAAGGCACGTTTAGCAATGTTTAGTAATGGTATTCTGTAATCAAAAACTTACAGATAATTGCATGCTTTTTATTCTTTGCATACCTTAACTTTCCTTTCCTCCGCCTTTCCTATCCTTTCTCCTTGGGGTGGCCATTTTTACTAGGGGCAGATTAATTCATCTCCCTTCACTTCTTGGAACTCTGGGTCTGCCTCCTGGAACATGTGATGATGCATATCGTCTGAGTGGGAAGGCACCGGTAATGTAGCCTTCCCAGGATGCATCTCTGAGGCCCTGGTTACATCAGCAAATAAATAAGTCTCTAACTATGTTGTCCAGATCTCCTGAATACTTGGCCCTTTAGCCTTTAGTCACAGCACCACACTGCATGGCCCACCTATGGCCTCTGGATTGGGGTTCTCCTGATAACCTGACCTGAGGTGATCTGACTCCTGAAACTGAGACCTCTGGTCTCGGCTTCTGGCTGGGGCCCCCCTGATTCCTCGATGAGACCTTCCGTCTCCCCCACTGGGAGTTGTCTCCAAACTGGGAGCTCTGAGCTATCCTCAGACCTGAGTATATAATTACACTGCACACCTGTGTACACAGCCAGGTTGCAGGTGTCTAGCAAAACTCAGACACAGGATTGAATGTTGTGACGCAGAACTACAGAATCTGGAGAACGACAAATACACAGCTTTCTCTGCCTAGAAACATTACTCTGGAACATTGCATTTACCCTAAATCTGAATCCTGGTTCACATTTTCATATATTCTCACAATAACAGAGCCTCGTCCTGTCAGTATACAGTGTTTGTGTGTGTGTGTGTGTATATACACTAGATTGCCAAAAGTATTGAGGCACCCCTCCCAAATCATTGGATTCAGATGTTCCAATCACCTCCATGTCCACAGGTATATAAAATCAAGTACCTAGGCATGCAGACTGCTTTTACAAACATGTATGAAAGAATGGGTTGCTCTCAGGAGCTCAGTGAATTCAAGTATGGTACTGTGATGGGTTGCCACCTGTGCAATAAGTCCATCCGTGAAATTTTCTTGCTACTAAATATTCCATGGTCAACTGTTAGTGGAATTATAACAAAGTGGAAGCAACTGGGAACAACAACTCGGCCACGAAGTGGTAGGCCACATAAAATGACAGAGCGAGGTCAGCGCATGCTGAAGAGCACAGTACGCGGAAGTCGCCAACTGTAGAATCAATAGCTAAAGACCTCCAAACTTTAGGTGGTCTTCAGATTAGCAGAGTAACAGTGCATAGAGAGTTTCATGGAATGGGTTTCCATGGCCGATCAGCTGCATCCAAGCCTTACATCACCAAGGGCAGTGCAAAGCGTCAGATGCAGTGGTGTAAAGCAGTTGAGACGTGTTCTCTGGAGTGACGAATTGCACTTCTCTGTCTGGAAATCCGATGGACCTGTCTGGGTTTGGCAGTTGCCAGGAGGAACGGTACTTGCCTGACTGCATTGTGCCAAGTGTAGAGTTTGGTGGAGGAGAGGATTATGGTGTGGGGTTGTTTTTCAGAGGTTGTGTTTGGCCCCTTAGTTCCAGTGAAGGGAACTCTTAAGCCATCAACATACCAAGACATTTTGGACAATTTCATGCTCCCAACTTTGTGGGAATAGTTTGGAGATGGCCCCTTCGTGTTCCAACATGACTGCACACCAATGCACAAAGCAAGGTCCATAAAGACATACTGTAGATGAGTGACTTTGGGGTGGAGGAACTTGACTGCCATGATCTCAACCCAATAGAACACCTTTGGAATGAATTAGAGCGGAGATTGCGATCCAGGCCTTCTTGTCTGACATCAGTGCCTGACCTCACAAATGCGCTTCTGGAAGAATGGTCAAACATTCCCATAGATGCACTCCCAAACCTTGTGGACAGCCTTTCCAGAAGAGTTGAAGCTGTTCTAGCTGCAAAGGGTGGGCCAACTCAATGTTGAACCCTACGGACTAAGACTGGGTCTCGCTCTCTCTCTGTCTCTCCCCGCTCTCACTTTCAGCACTCAATGTGGATTAGAAAACAGGGGTCACCACTGGCTACTACCGTAGGCATAAGCAGGTAGAGGAAGTAGCAGCATGCTTGCATTTTGATGAACAGAATCAAGGCCAGGTAACTACACGCAGGTTCATGGGTATTGTGGATGCATACCTCTGATGAAGTCACGTTATGTGTGACGATATGCGTGAGGGAGAAGTGAGGTGACGTCAGCGCTCCTACATCGTTCCGACAGGATCTTGCTCTTAATTTTTTTTATTCTGACCGCTGTTTCATGCTTCATAACGTGATTTTTTAACACTATTATCATGCAAGTTCATATACTTTTAATAAATATATGCCTTTTAAAGAAGCCTACTGCACTATGGTCTACTTTGTGGTTGTCGAGCTTTATCCACAGAGTTGGCTGTACTGAAATCGGGTGCCATTTGCGAAGGTCTGTTGGTGATTCATAAGGGGAAGAGTGCACAGAGGAGCAAGTTATGTGTTACCCCCACTAATAGGGGAGATGCTTTGTTTGACCTCTGTTCACATGCAGGTCCATGCGAGAAGGTGAGAGTCCACTTGGAAGTCTATGTTCACTGTGGTGATTCACATGTATTGAAGATTTACAGCACTGGGATTTTGGGTGTGATCACCAGCAGGAAGATTTTTCACTTATTTGGATTTTTTTGAAGAATTGCAATTATTTTTTGTTTTATCCTTTGGGACTATCAGTCACGTTTTTGTTTGTATATTTACGTGTATTGATTTATGCTAGCAGCGCAACACTTTCATTCATTTTAGTCAGTTTTTTATGTTTATACACATAACACGTGTTTGCAGCAGCTCATCTATTATTATTTTCATTATTTGGCAGCGCACAATTTTATTTTTCCTTTATTATTGTGGATGTATAGCTTCCATATTATTGATATTACTGTACCCAACCCACATGGAAGAAAAATTATATTTTAAATATATTTTTAAAATATTCTTCCCAAATATATTGACATATATTTGAAATACTACAATTTTGGCTGTATTCAATATACTTATACTGTATGTTGAAATGCGTTTTTAATATATTACAAAATATATGAAAAATATTTTTAAAAATATGTATTTTTTTAATATATTCTTCAGGTTTTTTTAACATTTTAAAAAAGTTATTTTAACATATATTTGTCCAAAAATGTAGATTAAATGTATTTTTAAAGACATACAGTATATTTGAAAATGTATTTTTAAAAATATTTTTCATATTTTGTAATCTATAAAAAGAACGAATTTCAACATACACGTGTGTATGTGTCTGTGTGTATATGTATATATATATATGTGTGTGTGTGTGTGTGTGTGTGTGTGTGTGTGTGTGTGTATATATATATATATATATATATATATATATATATATATATGTATGTATGTGTGTGTGTATATATATATATATATATATATATATATATATATATATATATATAGAATACGCCCAAAATTGTAGTATCTCAAATATGTCAATATATTTGGGAAGAATATTTTAAAAATATATTTAAAATTATATATAAATTTTTTTATATTTTATATATAAACATATCTTCTTGTGGGAGGGTGCTGCAAAATAGTACAGAACAGGAAATTTAATAGGTTGTATTATTTTGCGAATACTAAGCAAAAATACTGATTAAAATTAATTTAAAGGCAGTGAGACCCTTGCGAAGGCCTTTCACTTATGTTCACATTGGCTGGCTTTGTATATACTTTGACAAAAACTATATATAATTGTGACTGAACTGTCTGTAGCAGGAAATGAAGACAACATGGGAATGGTGCATCAAAACTAGTTATTTAATCATACAGTACAGGACACATACTGGATATTCAAAGACTCTGGGTTTTAGGCTGCTACCTTCAGATGATTGAACGGTGGCAAGCCTATGCTGGGCATGCATCCTAGTTGCACCCCTATAACCCTACACCTTTCTGGGATCTCAGTTTTTTTTGCTAGTGTCCTTATGTGATGGCCCCTACAAAGAACTCAATCTATGCTTAACTTGATTGATTCTTCAATTCGCTCCTCACTATATTCTAGTACAATAGAAGCAATGCATCTGGATTGGTACAAATGCTGTAAAACCTTGGGAGCCATACCTGGACCCCACACCATAGGGATGTCCTGGAATGTTGCTTCGGGCACTAGATTCTGCTTGGGCACTCACGTCGGCACTTAGTTCAACAAAGGTAGTTAGCCATAGTGTGCTATACAGGTTCAGGGCTGTGGTCTTTTCCTATGTAACAGTCCCTGAAGATGCCTTCAGGGTTATGCCAACCATGATGGATGAAGCCTGGACCCTAAACAGGGACCAGGGACATGGACAGGGTATCACGGATCCAACCCACATGCACACGCCCACAGCAACTAGCTAACCGAGGCACGCACGTCCGGCCGAGACTTGGGATAAGGAGGGAATAAGGGGGACTTGACTTATAAAAAAAATGGCTGTGATATACTTTCATAGCCTGCACTACCTCTGGCCACCACCGGAGGGAGACTCCACTCCAATCCAGCTAGCTGACTACACACACACAGGCAGATACGATCTTACATACAATCTGGTGCACTAATTAGGGTTGAGGAGCAGCCTAGCGATCGACACACCCTTCTAGGATTCCTCCAGCTATCCTACAAGCCAGAACCCCGGTGTTAATCACTCTTCCACTGTCCACACACCAGAAACGTTAGCTTGCCACCACCCAACAGTTTTACTGGCCTGCTGGGACACCACACACACACACACACACACACACACACACACACACACACACACACACACACACTTCCGTCTGGCAGACTGTTACCTTTACAATCTGCCAACACGCAGTGCAATTGCATACAGATTGGCAATGAACTTGACAGAGCAAATAAAGACACTAAAGTACAATACAATCTAATCTCTCCAGAGATATGAGCCCGAGCTTAAGTACCCAGAAGTCACTTATTAATTTTATGATTTAATATCCCGAAAGTGGGCAGTGCATAAAATATGTACAAAGTATAAAGAGTTACAGAAAATACAAGAAATACAAGAAGACACGCAATTGGCTATTGACTATAAAATAAAAGGGAAATAAAACCGAAATAAAACTTTACCAAGAGTTATCCTTCGACTGGAGCAAGTCAGGGAAAGTCCGCAATCCGTCAGTCAATAGAACGGGCTCCATACGAATCACAACGTCCATATCTCAGGGTCCTCAATTTATGGGAATATGGATGTGGGCTGGACATTAGTACTTGGCCAATTGACTCTGGGGGGTGTTCCTGTGCCAGCCCACAGGACAATCTGGGTACTGGAATGGCCAAAGTCGACCAGGAACGGTTTGAATCACCAAGTCAGGGATTGAATTTCCAACACGAGTGCATCAGTCCGATTGCGACAGTACCAATCACTGTTCAGCTGTTGCAATCAGGTGCAATATAACCATTTTCTGCATTTTGCTGGGATTCTACATAGGTTACAAATACAGTTTTACATGCAGATGTAGCCTACAGAGTGTCCAATCAGAAGGAAGTATTTTCATCTCTCTGCAACTAATATTTTAGCTTTTATGAGAGATGAAATATATTCCATTGATCTACTGATATACTTTAAAGCTCTGGTCTCGCGCTGTGTCATGAAGCCAACCTGTCTAGAGCCGTTTCCTTCCAGGTTTCCCAGAAGGTGACAAATCTTATTGGCATGTAGCTGTCACCTCCTTCCAGAGGAAGCTCTGTCTCTTTCAGATGCTAATTGGTGACCATATGCCTCTGACTGAATCCTGAACACATCTTATATTATTATAACATGGAATGCTAAATCTATATTGTCATATTTTCTACAGGTCACATCTCAGCTACTCAAATCTTACATGTACGTTACACAGGGTAAGATAGGTTTACCCTGTATTAGACCAATACTGTAGCTCCATTTATTGTTTCCTGCATATTGTTTGTTTTGTTCATTAAAACTATCAGGAAAATGGGAATTGTGTTTGCAAATTGTTCACTTATGGAGTGTTAAACTTTTCAAACTTCATTTTAACAATTCCACCTTTCGGAGCTTAGTTTCAGGTGACTGACTCGGTGTTGCATCAAACCATGTATATCATACAATTACCACTGCTTCCATCTAGAACCCTTTATAAGGTACTCAGGCACTTACTACTGCCACAGGGGCATATCCTCACTGATAGTAATGGCAGAAGCCAGGCTCAAACATTCACTCTACCGAAGGCCTGAAAAACACTCAAACCGATCAGAGTGACACTT